GCTGGAGGCGCGCCACGGCTACGTGCTGGCCGCGCGCGACTTCCGCCGCCTCTTTCGATTCCTCTACATGGACTGCGCCTACGCCGTGGACATCGGCGCCGTCAAGGCAAGTGTGCTTCGGTTTGAGAGGGTAGATACAGCTTACAGCAGTTCATTTTTTTTCTATTTTTCCACTTTTATTTCTAAAACAATCGTACTTCACACCAGTAAACATGAACTGACATACAGAAATATCTTTCTTCTGTAAAAAAATTGCTTTCCACTTTTTTAAGAATCAAAATTCAACTAGTTTTTAATGCACTGACTTAGTTTTTCCCTGATAGCTCAAATAATTTTGAAGACTCACCGAAACAAATCTATGCTCTTGTTTTAGATTTCTGAATAAATAATATTTTTAATTTGAATCTAAAATTAATATATTTATTAATAACAGGTTTTTACAATTTTATATTTTTTATTATAAATACTATTGAATTGAAGTGTATGATTTAGCATGGCTTTGTAGGTAAGAATTGGATACATGCATCCTACAAATTTAATACTTTTAACTTGATTGGCTTTATAGTTATAAGTGAAACGGATCATAAAAACTGTAATTCTGAAATATAAGCGACGAGGTTTTGATACACGAGTTTTACTTATCTTACTACTTTAAAAGACGCATTAAGCAGCGATGTACCTTTTAAACCACAACTCGAAAACTACTGGAGATATCGAAATATTTTTCTTCACAAATATATTCCTAAATAATTAATGCATGGGGAAAAAAATTGTTTTCAAAAATCTAATATTTTCATACTTCAAGGTGTATCTATCCTCTTAAGCATAGCTGCACTTCAAGGACACGAGGTGGACGGAATGTGGATTATTTTCATTCAATCGGGAGCTTCCTTATGACTCATATTTGGTATTCCCGTTGCTCCCGGTTGAATGACAGAGTATCCCTTTCCGTTCAGCTCGTGACCTTCAAGTGTAGCTGCGTTTAAATAGGAATATTGTCTAGTCAGTTGGTGGATTCGTACGGTATCCCGGCCGAGTCATTTGATATTTAGCTGTTCGGGATGTGCCGCGTCACTGTCGGAAAAGCTGACGTTCCGGCCAACATGTTGTGGCCTTCTTCAGTGCTGGCATTGTAACCCTGAAGAAGGCCACGACATGATGACTGAAACGTGAGCTCGTTCCGCAGTGACGCGGCTCATCCCGGACAGACAAGTAACAATCAGTTGTGCTCAAAAAGGCACGAATAAAAAAAAAATGCGGAAGTTGAAGAAAAATGGAAAAAACTAAAAAGTTCGCTCTGATTTTACTTTTTCGCTCATGTATTCAAAACTAAGCGTTTTATCGAAACAAATGTTATTTCAAAAATTAATTAGATAAAATTTCCTACAAAATTTGTATGTTTACTTTAACTTTATGAAAAACTGTTTAGACGCTAGAGCTCGCTGAAAAATGGCGATATTTGGAGCCTCTGGCCAAAGCGGTAGAATTGTTCTTTCTCACTATCTTATTTTCTCGATGAAGCGGACGGTTTTTGAGGTTGCAAACTTGATATTAGAATTCAGACCCTCAAAAAACCGAACTGTTGAGAAAAAACTTTCGGAATTTCTTCTGGGATCAGATTCCTTTTGACAGGTCTAAAGCGTACCGGTAGGTCGACTTTGTAATTAATTACTGTTTGGTTTGTCTACATCAGAAAATATGCTCCCCGCATTACGCACTGGAGAAATGTTTTCCATTAAGACCGCTCAATTGTAACAATTGCATCCAAGCACCTACAAATCACACCACCTCAGACCCATTAAAAATCAAAAATACCCCTCATATACATCCACGACGCCCAGGATCATCCCAATTTCATCAAAACAGTCCATCACACACTAAAACGTAACCAGTTCAATACCCGCAGTCAAGTAAAAATTTATTACACATCATTACAGCGATCGATACATACCGCCTCCTACGATAGATAATAGACAGCTTATGATTGGCCAGTAGGGGGAGGTGGTAAGAAAAATCGAATAGAAGAAGAATACATGTTTTTAGATACATCGCCCTGATTAGGGTTTTTTATATGTATGGTTAAACAAACACTATTGGTTTCAAATTTACAAGTGGAATAGTCAACATATTTTAAAAATAGGAAAAGAGGCGTTTCAGTACTTAGGCTTTAAGGAGCTCATCGATCATCGATTAAATGAAATTGTATTGTATAGTGAATCTAATAAATACTAATTTTTCTTTATTTTCTCAGGAAGTACTTTCAATCAACAACACACTCAGAAATCTGCTACTTAGCTCCTCAGCACCCATAATTATGTCAGTGTCCCAAGACAATTTCAATTGCACTGACATGAGTGTAGATGACCAAGTCGAAGTGCTGTTTGCGTTGCAAAATGTTCATCAGTCTTTCATCAGCTCTCTTCTGTGTGAGAGCTCCCCAGGAGAATGGCACGTGTTCTATTTGAACGGCTCCAGTGTGTGGGGTGTGGAACTGGGCAATGGACGTAATAATTGGGAACAACTGTTTGGCGAATTCCTGGAATCAAGTTTCCGAGACCATAATGCCAAAGTTTCAACCTTGATATTCAATGACCCAGTGGCGGAATATGTTAATGAGGGAAAAAACAGGTTCAAATATGTACCACTGTGTGATTGCGTACTGCAGGAACTTACTGTGCGCTCCCACATACATTGGAAGAAGTTCTCTAAACCAAATGGCCCAATTCGAAACGCAGTGAGTAGCTACCAAACAATTAAAATAAAGTAACATGTTTTTTAATTATATTTGTGTAAGTTATGTTATCACTGGTGAGGGAATCTTATGCCCTAAAAAATCGTGAAATATGCTTTTTAAAATATGCATTTACGACAAAAAAAACTGAAAAATGAATTTTAATGTGCAATTATAATTAACAATATTTCACTTTACGTATAAACCTTTCTTGATAAAATTCAGGAGAAGCGTATTTGGAATGAAAAGTTATAGTTAGTTGAAATACATACCTTACTTTGCAGGAGAAATAATTGAAGTAAATATTCACCTAAGTGCATATTTTTGCATTTTTTCCTGCCTGGGTGAAGAAGTATATCAATAAATAACTTACATTTGCCCAAGAATTTTAACATCTTTAGAAAAGAAAAAATAACAAACTGTGACAAGCTCTTTCTAATCAATGAATACTCACAAATCAATATCTTCTATGAAAAGTTGAAACGTTTTAGTGATAAGTCTCTTTTTAAACAAAATATGCAAAATCTGCGCCTATAATTTCAAGGATATGCACCAGCAAGAAAACTCGGCCTAATATGTACTAATATATTAATCCATAAAGTATCCGATTCTAACCAAATGTCATGAAATTTCACTTCGCTACGCCCTGAAGTAATGGACAAAAATATTCAAAATCAGAAATCCGCTCTCTAGATAACACTTTTATGGATGTTCATAGTCACAATTGATGATTTCTCGTAAGTTTTTTATTTATAAATCTCTGACTTCTATGCATTGAGCAAAAGCAAAAACAACAAGTGCACCTTACAAAACTAAACGACTTCTAGTTTTGGTTAAAATGGAGACACCTGTGTGTTATAGATATTAAAGATAATAATGAACTTTATTATCATTATAATTATTATCACCATCATACCGCATGTTTCTCATATAAATTGTGCACATTATTCTCATAAAACAAAATATTAAGCTATTAAAATTCTTCTCTAGTAAATGATTGCATTAGTACGTTACTATGTTGCTAATGTCGAAATTCCACCACTTCTGAGACTCGAAACGTCGTTCAGAGAGTTATCGCCATGCCTTCGGTGAGATAAAAACGATTAAATTACAACTCGTAATGTGCACTCGTCCGAACTTTGTAATCCCAAGAAGCAACGCCCGGGGGGCCACACGAAAGGGACTCCTCCCCTCCGCATCAAGAAACCTCAAGGTCGTTTTCCACGCACTTTATCAATTACGTTATTTTGATATAAGCATAAAACAAATCAAAAGGCATACGTAAAATAATGTTTAATTTGTAAGATATAATTTTGAAGTTCTTGATTTATTTCAGCCTGTCATTAATTATATAACATTTGCTTCTGCAACGTTTCGGAAATATCTTTTCCGCAAATTAGGCTGTATTATAGGAAACCTATAAAACACATTGTATACATTAAAAGACAATATACAACTGTTTACACATAATATAGGAAACATACAATATTACTCAGACACCCCTTAGACCAGTGCTTGCCAACTCAATGCTCTGTGACGTCACAGAAACCTGCTCTGCGGCGAGCAAAGATCCCGATGCGGGGGCGGGCGCATAGTGTTCCAATGATGGAATGGAAGTGGGGGAAAACGTTCGCTTGGAAAATCAATAATTACGTTTATTAAATGGTAATTATTATTTAAAATGTCTATGATTTAATACCAATAAGAATTATATAACAGGACATACATTATTATATAACTCAAAGCGATATCCGACTGTTTATCACAACTGTTACTGTAATGCCACTTTATTCTTCTGTAAGAGAAGGTTTTTGAAAAATTCAGTTAACATTTCAGGATAATATGTTATATACAATGGAATATAATATAACGAATTAATTCGTTCTGAAACAATATTTAATGTTAATAAACAGATAAATAGGTAGCGTCACGTGAGAGAATTTATACAAGAGGAGTTATTATTTTTTTTTGTACAAGTTTGTTTGAGAATGTTGAATCGTTTTAGTATCTTGTACATCATCTTCAATCTGCAAAATACTTTATTCATCCCTTGATTGCGGGCTATCTGTCAATTCATAGAATTTATTTTTATCTCATACATTTCTCTGGGTAGTAAAGCTACGTAATACATCTATAAGTTGAACTCTTTAACATACTGCATTTCTTTCAAATACACTAAACACTCCGCCATTGTTACGGTATCTACAAAAGGAAACCTTTTTTCCCAAAGCGAAGGAAAGTTGACGCGTTCAGATGGTCTCCTATTCAGATTCCCCCAAAATATCAGCAAAGACCCACTGTCTTTCGTTATTGGCAACCATTGTCTGCCCCTCCCTCTTTACTCGCGCTGCTTCTCCGTGTGCCTGCTCTCGGAGTGAAATTCGGCTCTGACGTCATTTCTCCTTCAGTTGGCAAACTCTGCCTTAGACAACCAACATGTACCAATGTTTCCAATAGCTACTATATTATAATCAAAAGACAATTTAATTGAAATAAAACAAAACTTTATCAATAGTTTAGAGCCAAATATACTTGATATATGGAAAATTTCGAATTTCGTGTCTTTCGATCAGGATAATACATAATTTATTTAGAGATATAAATGTATCAGAGTTCAATATTTTTCTTGATTCCACGTAGTAAATATATGAACAATTTTATCTACAACGGAAAGAACGTGGAAAAATAGACTCGTACTTTATTCAATATATTTTCTTAATACAAATAGAATTGTAAAACATTTCTCTTTAATTGAAACATCCTGTAAATATATTCCACAATATTTTCTGTAAAGTAAGTTCATTTGAGGGAAACTGCTTAGAAATGAGAGCAACCTTTAAAACCTTGAAAACAAAAAAAGATTTGTTGGTATTGTGGCAATCTATGATCTTTGAGATAAATAAGATTAAGTGTTGCGAACCCCATTGTTGGCCAGGTGTGCTTCAAAAATGTCAATTTCACTTATGAAGCGGGTTTTAGAAGGTACTACTGAAAATAGGTAGAGTATGTTGTGTTAAAGTACATAATTTGCAATATAATTATTATATTACACGACTGTTATACATTATACGATAAAAATGTACCAGTAGCATCACTTGTCTTCGATGTTGCTTTGTATTTTATCGAATATTAGCGTTGAACCAGAGTAATTTTAAAAGCGTTCTGCACCTTCATTGTTGCAGCACGTTGTAGCAAGTGATTGGGCAGCTGTGAGAATTACAGCCATACTATTAGCCCTTGGTAAAGTGGATTTTTCACCCGTAACCTTTTCTTTGAACAACCAAGACTGCGCCATTTTCGACTACATTGCTGCCACGTCGACTTTCACCCACAACGTCGTAGTGGTGCCTCGCGCGCAGCTTCTCCCGTCGTGGACACTGTTCCTGCGCGTCTTCGGTCCCGTGGTGTGGGCTGCCTTGCTGGGCACGGTGCTGGCGTACGCGCTGGCGTGGAGCGGCGTGGCGGGCGAGTCGCCGGCCGCCAGCGTCGCCGCCGCGCTGCGCGCCTTCTCCTCGTGCGGGGGCGCCCCGCAGGACAGGGTGCGCGCCGCGCCGCAGCGCCTGCAGTTGGCCGGCGCGTTGCTCGCGTCGGCGGTCGTCATCGCGGCCGTGTATCAGGTACTGCGCGTTTCACGAAAGGTGTGCGGTCTATACTTGCAGATAGTTTTTGTGGGTATTCGCACGACCAACATTCTAATTTGAGGACGTGCAATTTGTGCGTTTTTAAAATAATATATTTTTGAATACTTATATCCTTGCTTTTGCAAGCAGTATGTTTTGTACTCTTGATTAAATGAGTGTATTATTTCATTGCCTTATTAAAAATATTTTAGTTGCAATATACAGGTGACTCACGTAACTTTACCACCTCTGCAGGTTTGATCGTTTCAAGATATTGCAATGCAATTTTCACGGAAGTGCATCGTGTAATGGGGCTAGTTGATACATGTATTAATTTCTATTTTAACACTTATTTTATGAAATATTGAGGTTTCTTTGTCACCCTGAATAGTTATGGAAACAGGAACTGCATCACCTTCACTGCCCAGAAGTGCCGTTGTATTGTAAAATTTGCTTATTTAAACATTATACAATTTTTGGGCAGGTATCAAGAATATTTTGAAAATTTCTATAAAATTTAGGGGTAGATGAGCACGTAAAGTGGTGAAATGCTATGAATGACTATTCTGCCTTTTCGGCCATTACAGGAAACAATATAATTTGACTATTAATGTTGGTCTGAAAACACTACTATTGTAATACAAATTTAATAAAAATATTTCCATAAACATTTTTTGGGCTACTTTCTATTGTCACATCTCAGGTTTTCAGTTTTGTAGGAGGTTCCTGGTCTTGATGACTTAAGTAAAAAATAGTTCGATGTGTGGCATCTGGATTCACACTGGATGTCATTAAATAGAGTTAAAGGGATTCTTAAACTGTAACCAGGGACTTGATTATTTCCAATTTGAAAAGACTTATCCAAGAACCAGTTCACTTTTAAAGAGATAATGTATTCTTTCTCATAAACAAAAGAAGATTTATGTTAATCTCATTGGTTTCAAACTGATGTAAACTATGAATGAAATAATGCGGAGAACATAATAGAATTGCTGGAAAAGAAAAACCATGCACAACACACATCAAAGGCACTAATGAGAAATTAACATATCAAAAGAATTACAAAAAACGTTTTTAATGTGATATTTCAAGACCTGAATATTTGTGCAATTTGCTGAGAGTGAACAGTTTTCTTATTATGTGCTATTGATTTTTTTGTATTGGTATTGTATTTCATTTTCAGTAATATTGAAATTCAGTTTTATGGGGAGCCGGAATGGCCTATCTCGTCAATGTTAATGCACGGACCATTTTCTCAGAAACTATTTCATTTACAGACTTGAAATTTTATCTAAGGGTCGATTCATTATTTATAAGTATTTTAACGAAGCCGATTAAAAATGTTACTACTTTCTAAATTATAAATTTTTGTTAATTGTAATCGATTTTGTTCTTAAAAATGATAACATTTATAAGAATATTGTCTAAAGTATTAAACATGTTATAAATACGCCCCGTTAAAGTATATAAATCGGTGTACTACTTGCTTTGTTAAAATTTAAGCAACCACCTATTAGTAGTTTATGAAAAATGCTGAAGATGAAAATTTTAAACGGACGGGCTCCTAGATTGTTCCACTGCACTCCTAGTCCATATGATGGACAAACACACACATCGACATTTTAACGCTCTTAACCCCCAATTGCTACAAGAAACAGTGTGTCCAGCACTAGACAGCAAATTATTATCTATTTTTCACGCCGAAAAGCAACATCCACAATGATTCATTCAAGAAACACCCACTATATTTCAAAACAGCAACGACCACATCCATTCTACATAAACCCCAAAATTAAAGAGAAACACTAAGAGATGACATATTAAGATGCAACTTGGCTTATTTAACACAGGATACTATAAATTAAATAATGATTAAAAAAGTAAAAAATATATGTTCATCATTTTTGCCAATTTTGGTTCCCCCTAAGTATTGTTTCAATTCTATGTCTTTGTCATTGAAAGTTAATCAGGGTAATTACTGTCCTTTCTTGATTCTTGTGTTTGTTGAGAAAGAACGTATCTTCTATTTAAAGGGCAAACTGGTATTAGATCATATCTTTACTTTTCGAATCGAAAACCCGGTGTGAACCCGAATGCCACGCATCCATCATTTCTATTTAACATGCTTGAGTTATCGGGACCAGAAATCAACAGCAAACTTAAAACACGAGAGGGCACAATACCCAGGGTTGCCGGTTGCTTGGTACAAATATTCGTCGTTAGATGGATGTAAATCCGCCCAATAAGAAACGTTCAACATTCCAAGCGGGAAATTTTTATTTGCATTAAAATACATTTTTTATTACGCGTTTTTGAGATAGTGACTTTATTAGATGCTTAATTAGTTTTACTTTTTGTTTGTGAACATTTTAATTAATAATAATATTTAGTAAAAACTTATACTTTTTGTAATAATGAGTTGTCTTATTCTTTAAAAAATACTTATGACTGTTATTATGACTACAGTAGAGAAATGAACAAATGATTAATGAAAAAGAATGTGTAATGTAAAAAACTTTAAAAAATAAAACCCACTGATGTCGCAGTTATTTCTTTAAGACTTTGTCTGGAAAAAAAATTGTCCCGCGAGAGAGAGCCGTTTTCCAGCCCAAAAAGGGGAATTTCGCCCAATCTGGCAACCCTGACAATACCAATACCATTCCGGTAACCGGAGAACACAAAGGGATTACGGCGGACCCCGCGATAAATTGCAAGATGTTTTATATACTTAAGGAAGGAAAAGTTTATATATTTAAGGAAAAATAATACTCGCAATTTAGCAATGTAATACAATCAGTTTGTGCATATTTGTGGTAAAATATTTTCCCTATTTGAGACACGGCAAGGGCTTGTACTACACATATTTTCAACATTTTTTGTACTTGAGATACTTTCCGCAGGGATACAGATAGACTGGTTCTTTTTTAGAATGTCCATTTAAACTCGTCCATTTTAATACGTTACTCCGATTCCATTACTGTTCTCTATATCTATACTAAAACAAGATTTCAACTTAATTATGGGGAGGCCTGGATGTAGAAGAACGCTAGAATTTAGATTGATTAGTGATTGCGTGTGCATTAACATCTTTCATTAGTCCCGTAAGTGTAGAACACGTTCTTTCAATGTGAGATCCGGCGCCGACCTCTTCGTCTGCTAGCGGGTTTTTCCCCAACCACGTATCTCCCATCAGCGGGGCCCCGTTTTCACCAGCTGGGACAAGCTCTAAACCCCCCGGTGGTCTCGCGGCATGTATAGTAGTGTAGTGCATGGAAGTGCAAATAAGGGTGAAGATAGGACAAGGAAGAGGAAGGAAAGATCGCGCCCGGTCCTAGGTCCGTTTGTTAGGGTAGTGTTGGTTTTGATCGGAGAAACCACGGAAAACTACCGATGAGAGCTGACGGTCGCAAGAATTATCCTCCAAACAGAGGGTGAATTCGAACTAGCTATCTCGCTAGTGTCGAAAATCCTGCCAACGCCGGGACTCAAACTCTAGGGCATCTCGGTCAAAGGCACTGCAGTGACCTCAGTTGCTGCCCCGTGCCACCCAGAGCTAGGTAGAATTTAGACGAAGCATGTGCGCATGGTGACAGTTTCCATTTTTTGTGACCATCAAAAAAGCGTTGAAACGAGAAACTGTCACTAAAGATTTAGAAAGGTTCAAAAAAATCATAAACAATAAAATGGTAACTCTTTACCTAAATAAAGAAAAAAACTGTGGGGGTCCGTCGTTTCCCATTTGATATGTGACTTATTGTTGTTCTTTGGTACATTAATGTCATAATCTTTTGCAAAAACGTTGTTCCAGGGGCGGCTTTTTAGTCTTATGACAAAACCCGAGCGATATGCGGATATGGATACTTTGGAGGAGTTGGCAAACTCTCGCCTCCCTGTAGTAGGCACGATGGCAATTCCGCACTTGGTTCATCCAAATAATTTGCATTCTAAGTCAATGCAAGAAGCACTTTTGAAGCTAGAATACCGACAATCCACCCCCACGGATATTATACGTCACCTAACGAGGAGGGACAGCGTTGCATGGTACACCTTCGAAGGGAGCTGGAAAGAACTGGAGTTCGCAGGAATAATATCAGATTATTGGCATCAGATGAGAGAACCATTAAGGAACGCCCTCGGCTTCATGCATGCTCGAAAGTTAGTACATAAACCAGTATGTCTAACAAAGTGTTCATAAAAGAATACTAGAGAAATTCGAGTTACGTAAGTACTATGTTGTGAAAATCGAATATGCGACACAATAAGCATTTAGAAATACTTTGAGATATACAAAATGTCGTAAGAGATCGATAGTTGTGCAAGGATAAAGATAAGTTCCCACAAATATAATAAGTGTAACTTCAGCAAACATTTTCGACAGCGTAGGAGTGCGCGATAAGAGAATTAAATGCCGAAAATGGAATATTGCAAACAATGTTCACTCTTCACAAATATTATTTTATTAATTTCTAGTTATTTTGTTTGTTTCGTACAGTCTATTACTCCTGCCTGTCAAGGGAAATTTTGAATGTATTCTTCTACCACAACCTCCTCCTGGTTTATCTCAAAACATTTGAAGGTGATTATCTAACCACATTTGGCCAGAGTTTTTTAGCGTCCAGTGTAAGAAATTAAATTGATCTTTAAAACGAAAATTGTTACAGCAAGTCTATTTACAGCAAAGAAAACTTATATTAAACACAACATACTCTTAAAAAATTGTCAAGTATTATATTTAATTTTTATAAAGAGCTCTATTGCAACTATTTCAATTATATTTAATATTACATGCTTATTTCAAAGCTGGAAAGTATACTTTTAGACAGAAAGAGGGGGAAAATTACTCATTTTAAAAGAAGTCTGTTCGGACATTTTTTTCAAATGCTTTCAACCTTACATCGTGGAACTTTATATTGAAATATTCATATGACCATAACCAGTGGCGGATTTTGACGACCTAACAAATTGCCAAAAAATGATCAATGAAATGCTGGGAAAATGTTTTTAAAATGTTTTAATAGCAAAGAAAAATGACGTAAAAATGTTATCAAAACAAGTACTCATGAACAACTCAAGCTGGATACGTTACTGATGTAATCGAGGCTTCTTCTATTAGTTCAAGAGCACTCGGCTTTCAAACTTTTGGTTTCGACTGTTCTTTACCAGAAAATCTGTCTTTTGTTATTCCGAAATCTTTCGGAATGACAATGGCGCTGATATGCGTCACAGGAACCTTAGCTTACATTCAATGGCTGACATTACACTTTCCCAGGGAAGAAATCGATTAGGCTACTGAGGAATTCTGTGGAGAACATTTGTTGTATCTCGTAAATATTATTTGAAGCAAGTACTATTAAAATTATATTAAAATCGATGAAATCAGCAAAAAATCATTTAAAAGAATGGAAAAAGCAGGAATGACTGATTACTCGAATCGTACGAAAAATGCAAAAACAATACATAAAAATGGGTCATTTCCTATTGTCATACATAAAATTAATTTCCGTACTAAACGGCATTGTTCTAAAGAGAAACAATAAATGACATTTCATTAAAATCCGCCTTCTAAACAAAACAAAGTAAATAGGTAGAAAACTTTGTACAAAAATTTGTGAAAGACTAAACCTCCGTACAAAAACTTGTATTTTCTCTGTATTCAGTGATATTCTCAGAGTGTGAATTCCCAAAATCGCAACATTAGTAAGTATACATCAGTCCACTTGTTTTCTTTTACAAATCACCTTTTAAAGATTCTAGTTACTCAGTTAATTACTTACTCTGTCAATAAAAATACAGAACCTAACTATTTTTGGCAGATAACATTCTGTTCTTTTTGGTTTCAGAAACTGGCCATGGACCGACATTGTGAACCAACAAATTTATTGCTTCCACTCCGCTGGTCTCATGTCCAAGTGGGAAAACGACGCTCAGCGTCTATACAGAATGTACATGTATTACAAATCAAGAGAAAAAGGTACATTGACAAAGACGCGTTACAAATTAGGAGCAGTGACGGATGGTGATCCAGAGCCTTGGGAGCTTGGATTCAAAGACGTGTCCTGGGCTCTGAAGCTGCTTGGAGTGGGACTCGCAATATCGGCGTTAGTTTTCCTTCAAGAGCTTTGGCGAGGCCGCAAACGTCTACCCACATATGTAAGTTCATACGAACAACTGTCGAATTAACAGTAGATGTTCAATTAGAACATCGTGAAATGTTTACATTAGAATCTGTCCATGTTTTTAAAATGAAGAAATATGTTGGTACATGTACACATATATATTAATATTTTATATTTATTTTCTCTCTTTTTTGACATTTCATCATTCATCATTGTACATTGAGATTAGTTTAGCTTTGCTGTTTTGTTACACTAGTAATTCTATTTTCAAATTACTATTATATTCGTGTCTTCAAAAAACTGAGTAATCCAATATTTTCTTAATTCTACATCCTTTGGTTGGATGGAAGTTATCTCGATATTAATACTACTCTATTCGTATTTAAAGAAATTGAAATGTGGTTTACTCATTCACTGAGTTTGTTTTCAACATGTTTATTTGGTTTTTATTAAGACTCGAATTTCTAACATTACTCTTTATCATGATGCACAATAAAATTAATTTCATGTTCCAATTTCGTCATGACAGGATAGGTCGGTGGCTATGCTCCATTATCTGGGAATCTCATCTATCAGATACTGACGTCCGTCCTCCCAGTACCAGTCGCTACTGAATCCAGTAGAGTAGAATTATTAGCGGAGCCTGGTGAAAACACACCAAGGAAGAGACACTACTGCAATTAAATCTATTCCACAGATTAGGAGTACGCCAACATACAAATTATTGGAATTACAGAACTGTTCCTGCATTTTGACCTTGGGGAATTTAGTACGGTGTGAAGCCACTCCGCACAGACATCAGAGCCTCTAGATGGATGGATTCAAAAGGAGCTTGGATAGGCTGCTGGGATCCCACCTCCGCGCTGTCTCTATGCGTGACAACAAAGCATCGATAGTGACTTCAGGAGGACCAGAACGAACACGTGGCCAACCGATCATATTCCAGACATGTTCAATGAGAGAGATGTCAGGCAAACGTGTAGGCGAGGGAAGCAGTGGTACCCGTCGTTCTTTGCAGAAAGCTTGAACATTCCTCGCTACACGCGGTCGAATTTTGCCCTGCTGAAATATGGCATGTGGAGCTGCTTGCAGAAGGGGCAGTACCTCGGGATCTAAAACCTCTGTGTTGTAGCGGTTGCTGATTAGATTGCCCTTAATACGTATGAGGCGAGATCGTATATTGTAACCAATGTCGTCTCCAACCAGCATAATTGGCGTTTGTCAGTTATAGCCAGGGACAATGCAGGCTGGCAAATTGTGATCACCACGGTAGCGTCGAACACGTATCGGGTAGCCGCTGTGGCACAAATTGAAGAGGAACTCGTCCGAAAACACTACGTTTTGATACTCGGCATAATCGTGAACACGTTCACGTCCATTGATATATGAGGATTTGGTGCTTTCTGCTCAATGGAATCCGACGCAGATGTATACGTGCCACCAGTCCAGCCTCCAGCAGATGCCTTCGAACCGACGACATTGACATGGCCACGTTGCGGTGATCCAAAGTCGAGCCAATACTGTTCTGTCGGTAACAATCATGCGTATAAGATGGCGTTCATCTCGCACTGTGGTTATATTCCGTTGTCCAGAACCCACTCGTCGCTATGTACGTCTCTCCTCTATTCCACTGGTTCCAAACACCCATCACGGACGTAGAAGCGCGCCCTGTTCCAGCCACAATGGCATGGCACGACAAACCTGCTTCTCTGAGGCCAATCATTCTGCCCCGTTTGTACTAACTTAGAGCTGATATTGCGTTCTTTGGCGTCGACGATTCATATCGACACTTGCTTGCACGTTTCCACGTTGTTTGACTACTCAGAATACCTCTAGTCTACACCGACTGAGTGAGCGTAACACTGATTTGGCCTGGGACACAAAGAAGGGCGTAGTTAGTCCAACGTGCACCACACCTCTACGCAAATTTAATCACTTCTTATGGACTCACTGTTCTAAATATCCACGAATTAAGTGATTCTGATCATTCGTTCTGGGTGTTGCAATTTTCACAAACACCAGTATATATAAATATTTCCCACCCAGAGCCTACCTTCCTCAGTCTCTAGGATTTACTATTACCATGTACTACCAGTATCTCTTACGTTTCGTAACTCGTGCACAGTGTCAAGCTTCTGGAAACAATTTTTTACAATGTGTGGACATGTATATTGTTATATAAATAGTTGTTACACATTTTTATATATTATAAATATAGGTGTTGCTGTAAAATATAAATAGCACCTCATACAATTAATATTATTTTTCGTTTTTCTTTAATTTTCATACCTTCTCATATGTTTGAAACATTAAATAATCATTTTTTACGTTTTGAAGGTTTTGGCAGCGCTATTTAATGGGAAATGCTTAAAACAACCTGGCAACACTGATCACCGGTGACCCAAAATAAGTGCTGGACTAAGGCAGGACACGTGAAGTAATCATCCACTTGAGCAGGTCGTGCGGACCGGAAACATCGACTGTCCCGTAATTTAAATTACGTGTTTTGTCACGTGTAGACGCAGTCATTGACACATTAGAGAAATGTATCGAAATTGTCTTCACTGAAACACAATGTCCATACCATTACGAGACTCACTCTTCGATCTACGCAATAGCGAATCCGCCATCTTTCTTTTTTAACTTTTTCAGTGCATGAAGTTTCGATGTGTAATAATTACAAATATTCTAAATAAAAATATAAAGACGCACATTAATACAAATTATAGTGGAAAATAAATCATTGAGAACAGGGAGAATAATTGTAATATCATTATTTGGTAAGCCTCGTTTGGTCGCAACTGACTTGTTATGAAATTCCAATGATTTATTGTTGCGCTATATTTATTGTTGGGGAGAATGATGAACACTGATCAAGATCAATAAATTTAAAATATTGGAGACAAAAATCGTACCACTAGTTGAAAAGAACACGGCGTTGATCTTCCAACAGGTCCTCGCACCGTGTCACACATCAAAGGAATCTTTAGTTGTTTTTTTTTCAAAAAGAACAATACAAAAATAAACCTTTTTAAGTCACTTGTCAGTGTCTGGTTTTGTGAAGAAGAATTCAAATAACAGTACTTAACTTTAGTAGAATAAATGCCTAGTAGAATTAATGAACTTAATAATAAAGGAGGACATAAATTATTAACTACAAGAAAAGTTAATGTTTAGTATGTTTTTCAGTGTGAAAATAAAATGTTATAAAGGGCAGCGTGTATTCGGATTAATTTGTTCACTACTGCAAGTAACTTACATTCAAATATATTCCTGTTTGTTTCATTTGTCAAAGTAAGATATGACTGCTGCACATGACTATTGAAATGAATGCATGTATATGCATCACAGCCGCTTTGATTGAATTGATTGTAACGAGCGTTTTCAATAACAGCTAAGGTGGTGCATTAAATGCAATTTTTCAATATTACGTAGCTTTTTTCAAATAACGCCAGAAAGTATGTGCTGTTGGAGCACCACTAGTTAAAAGTTGCACAAAATCATCAAGATAATTTAATCAAAGATAATTAATTAATTTACTAATTAAAGATTATTTAATTTAAAAATAGAGATTTTTGGCTTAAATGGAATCTGTTCTTAAAAATAAGATCTTTCAAAAACGATTTCAAATTAGTTTTTTAACAAAGGAGTTGCTTTTGTGAAACTTCTGCTTGACTTTATTGCAATTTATTACAAAATCTTCAAAACGGCTCCAAACTTTTATTAAAATTTTCCACACTTCCAAGGAATAAAAATTTGGGGCAGATATTTTTAATTGAACTCTAAATTTTCGAAAATTGCAAACAGGTATAAATAATTCGAGAATGTATGTGGTGTAGTACCACTAGTTAATGCCTCAATCGAAATTTGCCAATTGTACCTCTTGATGTTCTAGTTAATTTAATAAACAATTGTATTTCTTACGTTCTCTGGGGTACACTGCTTTGTCTAAAATTGGAACGTTCTATTGTTAGCCTTCAAATGCCGATTCCAGGTAAACCATCGTTCTTGACTATGCACAATAGCCACTAGAATAAAGCCAAAAATCGAACGCTGTAGCAGAGAAAGTAAGGTTTCGATATTATTTTACGATAAAATATTATTTATTTTATTTAATAGGTAATTATTACAAACAAATTAGATTACTTGATACTATGTGGCTAGGTATAACACTATACGAGGCATCTCTTCACAAAATGAGAGTGAGCTCGTATGAAACAGCGACTCGTATCTTAATGAGTCGTGCAGAAATACTCTATCTCAGCACAGTAGCGCTGATTTTATCTCGCGCGTGACATAATACTCGCCTATTGTAAGTTGAGTTATAGTTGAGTGCCGTAGCGTGTTCTGTTTCTCTCTTTGAGTTGCGATGATCATTAGTTGTAAGCGCGATAGAACGCTTATCGGAGACAATAGACCAATGACTCACTAGCAAACTCGACTGCTTAGAGCAAGAGTCGAGCTCTTTATTCTACAGCACCCGCAAAGGTAACGAACGTCTGGCAGCGAGTGGCAGACGGAGAGTGCACACCGCGACTCTACTCCTTCCCTCGGCGTACACGATGCGAGTGGTGTGAGAGAGCACAGACTCGACATTGACTTTTGTATCTATAGTACGAACATACTATTTTCATAGACTGGAGTTAAATACGGATTTGGAGATGCACAACGCGTTTCTCCCACATTATTTCTACATATTACGATGCCCCTCTGAGGGGCGTCTGTAACAAAGCGAATTGGAACTCCTGTTTGCTTACTAGTGGTATGCAAATTGTTATTTTGCGTCAATACTTACCAATGAGACTCGTATAATGTATCTAAGTGCAGTACGAGTTCTGTAAAAATTGACATTCAACTTTACCTATCTCAAAATACTCTGAGGTAAATTCCCCATGAGCCGACCTAAATGTGTCTACCAATTCTGTCATCAATGTACCATTACGTGACAAAAATTACTAGCCGTCAAATTTAATCTATTTACGAGTTAACAAAAATTTGGTTTCTTATTTATTATTGCCCAAATTAAAACGGACT